AGATAGCTAGGTCTATACTATAGGATATACTAATATTTAGAAAGTTCCTCTGCCTAGCAGCACTATTACTTGCTTAAGCTTTAAAGGCTAGTAAAATACTCTAGGTTTTTATAGTCTGTAAATATTATAAATAGTTTGTGAACACTCTGTAATTCTACTAACTAGCTTTTAAGACACTTAACAATAGCTAGCAATTCCTTATTATGTATAGTGTAGTTTTGTCTCTCTAGCGTTAGTGCTATAGAGTAGTAAGTAACTAGGTGCTAGACGCCCCTAACTTTTTATAATAAGCAACCCCTAAGAGCGCATCCTAAATAGTCTACTTCTAATAATATTTCTTTAGCCAGGTCCTATTGCGTTAGTACTAGTCTAGATATAAATACCTTTTTTAGTGTATTAAATGCACTCTATTCTTCCTCCCCCTATTAGAATAGGGTGTCCTTCCTAGTTAGTTAGTTTAAAGGTGCTACTACTTTAGAAAACTTCGCGATAAAATCGCGGTAGAAGTTAGCAAAACCTAGAAAACTCCTTACCTCTCTTACATTCCTAGGGGATTCCTATTCCTATACTACCCTAAGCTTTTTGGGGTTAGGTCTAAGTAATTTGCCCGCCTTAATAATATAGCCTAGGTAGCGTACTTCCTTAACACTAAAAGCATATTTCTCTAAGTCTAGGTGTAGTCCTACTTCTTTTAATAGCGTAAGTACACACTTTACTTTTTTTATATAGTTAAACTAGTCTTCTCCTAAATAAATTAGGATATTATTAAGGTAGGCTATTATATATAATCTAAGTAACTCTATAAGTGTGGCATTAATATATTATTAGAAAGTAGATAGCGCACTACTAAGACTAAATAGATATACTAACTATTTATACAACCTAAACTAGGTGCAGAAAGCTGTTAAGGACTTATAACCTTCTACTATTCTAACTTTATAAAAGGTGGCGCGAATATCTACTTTTATAAACTAATTTACGCTAGATAGTGTGCGCAAAGTTTCCTTAATAAGTAGTAGTAGGTATTAGTCTAATATTGTTATGCTATTAAGCATCTAGTAATCTACACAGAGGCGCTAACCTCCTAATAGCTTCTTTACTAGCAATACTAGAGCTCTAGCTATAGAAGAGCTTGCTTAGATCTAGCCCTTGTCTATTAATCTAGTAAGTTGTGTTCTTAGTTCTAGCAATTAGTTACGCGATATAGGGTACAGGGGACCCTATAGGGGGTTAGGCTAGGTTCTATCTAGAAGAGTTGTTAACTAAATATAGTAATCTATACTACCTTAATAAGGCAGCAAACTGCTTGCTAACTCTTTGTTAAACAGGTCCTTAAATTCTTGCAGTTCTAGTAGCAACTTTATCTTTCTAGTTTTATACTTAGGTTTATAGGGAACTATATTACTAGTAATATAGATAGTGTGTATATTAATAGGACCTCCCTTGTTAACACTTCCTAGATGTTTTATTAAGCGCGAGTTATATATTGCCTATAAAATATCTAGTATATTTATTGCAAAAATTTGTACCTATATATCTTCCTATTAGGATCCTTAATTTAGTAACCCTACTATAACTAAACCTAAGATAGTAGGGATATAGGTAGGATATAGGCGTCTCCTACTCTCTTATACTACTATATTTCCCGCCTTCCTAATTATTAATTCGCCTTATAGAATATCTATAACAACGCCCTCTCTACACAGCTATAGTCTGCCTAGTATTAGTTAATAGGAGAGACTAGGTACTATATAAGCTAAAAGCTAAGACCACTAACTATCTAAATTATAGTCTAATACTACTAACTATAAAATTCTTGTACCCTTAGCAATTCTCTAGGCATGTTGCAAGGGTTATAGGGGAATGTTAATAAAGTTCCTCCTAATCTATTTTGCTAACTTTTCCTTAACTGCACTAAAACACTAGCACCCTAAATTAACTATTGCTTGCACGTTCTTTACTCTACCTAGGAGGAGGGGAATAAAGAAAGGTGGATTATTTAACCTAGCCTTAATATCTAGGGGACACTTAATAGCCTCTACTATTAATAATTCCTCTATTATAGTGTCCTCCTTATACCCCTAACTTAGCCTAAAGTTAGGGGCGGCTAGTTTCCTAAATTAGGGCCGCTTGCTAATACTGCAACTATCTTAACACCTACTAGTTGTAGTAACAGGGTATTAGGGCATGCACGTATAAAATAACCGCCCTATCTACACTAGGTGTAGACCCTTGCTAGTTTCCGTGCATTAAACAGGTCCTATAGGATCTAATTAGGGCGTAATATTAGTAGTTTAGTAGGTGCACTTAATAAGGCCACTACTTCTACTATATTTATATCGCTATCCTAATCTAAGTTAGACTTCTACTAGGGTTCCTTAGACTTACTAGCCTAGAGAAAACCTAGTTCTAGAGAGGCTATTTTAATGTCTACTACAATTGTCTTGTATTCCTTTATAGCTGCATTATAGTTTGTCCTAGAGACTCCCCTATTAAGGGAAACTAAGCGTATATAACTATTAAGAGATTACTAAAGTTGCAAAAGCTTTTATTTATTATCCTAGTGTAAACCTTCTAACTATATAAGGAGCTGCACAAAATTTATAAAGAACTCTATAAAAGGCTAATTTTAGCCCTAATATAAGTGTTCTAACGTGACTTAGGCGCGCTCCTGCCTGTAATAGTCGCTATAATAGAATGCTAGGTAGTTAAGAAACCTACTTATATCCTAACGCTTGCGTGTACTATCCTTAAAGTATAGTGCTATAGCGCGCTAGACTATAGGTAATAACTAGGACTAAATATATATAAACCTTGCCTCCTTATCCCTAATAAAGACCTTATCTACACGTAGTTTAAACTCTATAGTTATTTACTAGGAGGAGAAGTTTGCCTTAGTGCTATTATATAGCAAGCTAACTAGGAAGGGCTTGTAACGTAAGGTAGGAGAGAGCAGAGGCAGCATGTTATTAAACCTAGCAGGCTTAGAGGAGGGTTAGGATAGAATCTAATTGCGTATTTCCTCGTTCTATTAACGTAGTATAGCTATTATAGTAGAGTCTTAAGCCTATTATTCTATTAATCTATAGACCTGTTATATTAGCCTTTCTACTATATTAGGTTGCACCTAGTTATTCTAAATATCTAGCGCGTCCATCTCTTATTACTATTATAGTATATTTAGAAGAAGATACTAAAATATTATAGACTAGCCTTAAGGGAAGAATATAATAAGCGTTAATAATAGTATTTAGTATCTTAAAGGAGAGATAAGCCCTCTACGCCTTTTTATAGGTGTCTAGTGTGTTCGCTTAGTAGTGGTGTTAGACTCGGTCCGTCTTGTGTTAGACCTAGGCTTAGGCATAAGCCTAAGCCCTTCACATTTTATAATATAAACTTTCTCCTACTTAAGATCTTTAATAGCGTATATCTTAGTATTAGAATAAATATATTAATAATAAGAGGTAATATAATAGTATAGGTACCTAGGAAATAATATTAGTGTGTCCTCCTACCTATCCTACTAGCCTTAGATATAGAGATAACTAAGGCTAGGGCCTAAAGTAACTAGCTTATATAGAACGTCTATAATATAGGTATCTAGATAAACTTAAAAAATAAGCTAGTAATAACACTAAACCTAACAAAGTAAGTCTACTACGCGCCTCCTTACTATAAGGTAAAGTAGATAGAGGTAAAAGACCCTTACTAGGATATTGCAAGGGTGGGGCGTTTCTAATCTACTTACCTAGTTAAGGTCTATAATATAGAAATAGATAACCCTAACGCCCTATAAGTTACTATAATAAATATATTATACTATCTACTAGCGTATAGTATACTAGAAACTATATTCTACCTATACTCTATATAGCTAATAAAGGTGGATATTAATAAATAGACGTAGATAGGGACCTTAGAAGGACTAGCTATAGATGTTAGTTTACTAGTATAAAAGCTAAGGAGGGGACAAATAAAGCCTACTACACTATCTTTAACTAGCGCGATAATTACTATAGGCGCGTTACAAGCTACTACTATAATAGTAAAAAAGAGGGTATCTACCCCTATAATACTACCTAGCGCGATAATTACTATAGGCGCGCTATAAGCTACTACTAATATAATAGTTATTATAAAAGGCGCGCTATAGGCAGCTACTATAATAATAGCTATAAGCACGCTATAAGCTACTACTATAATAATAAAGAGGAGGGTATCTACCCCTATAACACTATACGCCAAAAAATTAAAGACTACGCGATAGTTTTTCCTAGATTAGAGAAACTACCTACTAGATCTAATAGTTAAATTATATAAAGTATTAGACTAGATAATTAGCAAGGAATTTAAAGTTAACTATTTCTACCTAGTACGCTAAATAAACAAGACGTATTAGAGAGGCGTAGAATAGATACTATACTATAACTGCACTAAACTAGGGCAATAGGAACTAGGCAAGATAGATTTAGTTATAGATACTAACTTAGATTAGATAGTACTGCTAGTAGGTTATAAGTTCCTAGTAGTGTTCCTTAAATACAAAGTATTATAGCTTAAACTAAGAATAATCTACTAAGTAGAAAATATAAATAATATACTAACTAATATTAAATAGCTAGACCTATCCTCTAAAAGTAAATAATTAGCGCGACAATCTAATAGAATATATAGGTAGAGCGATTTTCTTTAGGTCTCCTTTTCTCCTTTATCTCTCTATTTTTTATAAGGGGTAGAACTAATGCAGTTGCACTTTCGCGAGTCGCAAGTCGCGCTAACCTAGCGGAGGGTCGGCGCTGCCCTAAGTGGCGCCAGCCGCTAGGGCTGGCGCAGCCCCCTATATATACCTATCATGAGGATAGATAGCAGGGGTAGACAATACACGATTGATGCACTACCATCTATATGTGCCCAGTGCCCCGTCTGACCTTATCCATATCAGCGACAGTGGGATTGCGTGTTCATGCTGCGTTGACTTTTGAGGAAATACGCGCTCCGTCATGGTGACTTTCATATCCAGCTCGGATGGCATGGTTGCGGACGACAAAGAGTCACTCTCAGCCTCGAAACCCCAACGAGAGGTCCAACAACATTGTCGCAATCAAATCGTCAAGAGAACACCCACCAGGCACGGGCTGGAAGTGGGGCCTCGGCCCGTACCGTCCATGGAATTATCCGAACTACCATGATGGGTTGAATCCGGTTGAACCAACATAAACCGAACATGATTCAATCTCATCAAAGCCTATGTACATCATGTCGTCGCCTTTTTTTTTTGGAATCTTCTGGATATCAACTCAAGGCATCGGTATATTGGAATGAAGCTCGAAATCGTTGTTTTGGTGAGTTTCCCAATCATAATCCCTTTGACTGCGACATGAGATGTTGACTTAACCTAGGTGCTAGCCATTGGGCTGCTATACAAGCTCTCAATTCGGTGGTTTCATCCCTTGAGGAAATTCCCGGGTCCACTTTCAGCATCGTTCAGCAATGCAAGTCCTTCACCATCCACATTGAACGATGCACGAGCTTGAAAGAACGCTCTTCTGACAAAAGTGGCATAGCTTCTGTACTCGTGGAAGTTTATGACAGGCAGACAGCCTTATTGGCAACTTGAACTCCATGAAAAATACGGTAATTCAACGTCTTACTGTCCTTTCCAGAGCGTGGCTCATCATTAGCAGGACCTGTTGTTCGCGTCGCACCCAACGAGCTAAGCTTCAGCTCATCTTCCTCATGGCGTGATATCTACGGCCCCCGCAAGGGCGTAGAGCCTTTCGTCAAAAGTGAGTTCTACGCTAGAGGCAACTTTGCCGCAGAGTCGCTCTCCATCGTGAGCGAGCGTGATCCCAGGAAACATGCCGAGATGCGCCGTTATCTCAGCAGCGCTTTCTCCGACCGTTCCCTCAAGTCTCAGGAGCCTCTCATTGCAGAGTGCGTGGACAGGCTTGTTAACAAGCTCGAGGAAGCGGGTTGTGGTGCACACGGTACGGATTTGGTCATGTGGTTCAATCTAGTCACCTTCGACATCATCGGTAGCCTTGCGTTCGGAAAGGATTTCGGTGGCGTTGAAGCGGGAAAAGAACACTTCTGGGTCGCCATTGTGACGAAAAGCCTGCGTTTGGGTGCGCTCGCCGATTGCTTCCGCAGATTTCCGGCAGTCTCTGTTGTTGTACAAAAGAGATGTTCACGATTCATCGAGAAGTTGATGACGGAGAACCGTAAGCACCAGAAGTACACTATGGACTTGATGCAGAGGTACGTCTTCAATCTCGATAGCTATGCACCTTACTTGTGAGCATATCTGACTTCGAACTAGTCGATTAGCGACTCATTCAGACCGCGCAGACTTCCTCACTAAGATAATTGAAGCACGCGAAGCGGCATCCATCTCAGACTCTCAGATCGCTGCTCACTCTTCCGACTTTGTATACGTATTATAAACTCTTGTAACACCACCCGCTATTCTAACAGAAGAACCAAAGTATTGCCGGCAGTGAAACAACAGCCACAACACTTTCTTGCATGGCTTACTACCTGCTTAAAAATCCTTCCATCTTGTCGCAGCTGCAGAACGAGGTACGGTCATCGTTTACTCGATACGAGGATATCACTGCAGCCACCACGATCCCTCTCAAGTACCTCAAGGCTGTTATAAATGAGGCCATGCGCGTGTACCCTCCTCTTCCCTTCGCGCTTCCTCGCGTTGTTCCTCAGGGTGGATGCACTGTTGATGGTCATTTTCTACCAGGTGGAGTACGTTTACCTACGAACGATTGACATTCGTCCCCGAATTTCTTCATCTAATGCGGACCTGCAGACCGTTGTTTCGACAAGCACTTTCGCGGCAAGCATGTCGACGGCCAACTTCAGTGAGCCCTGGAGATTTAAACCGGAAAGATGGACTGGTAAGAACTGTACCGATGATCTCGACGCAAGCCAGCCGTTTTCGTACGGAACGCGGTCCTGCATGGGACGGAGGTATGGCCCTTCTATACACTCATTGTGTGATCGAGTGCTGATGTTCATAGTCTTGGTTGGATGGAGCTTCAAACTATCATGGCGAAGATCATTTACCGGTACGACATGGAGCCAGTTGATGACACTGTTGACTGGCATCGTGATTCGAGGATGCATACTCTCTGGGAGAAACCCCCTCTGATGGTGAGATTGAAGAGGCATGTGTAGTAAGTCACACGGAAGTCAAATAACAATAATCGGAAAGTAGGCAAAAGGCAGGCAGGAAGAACTTAGTTACTAGTATTCTTAAAAGGAAAAGATTGCAAAAAATGCCGAAAATTAAACCAAGTGTATAAGTCATCCATATAAAATAAAGGAACGATATCTGTTCACAGCTTTGCTTCAACTTCAATCTAGTTTTCCTGGATGGAACATTACTCTATGCATTTAACTACTAAGTTAAGGATTCCTCAGCGGCCACAGAGGTTACTAAGTCTAACCAAGCCTCCAAAGTTATGTGGTTGATCTACAATATAATAATAATTATACCAAGGTATCCTGCCAAGCTACAAACGACCTAGATAAAGTTTCCTTCCTGCCAGCAGTCGCACTTCGACGCATTGACAGCGGCATCTAGAACAGGCCCAACCAAGGTGCTATTGAGATTTTGCACAGTCAACCCCTCATTGGACGCAAATTCAGGAAGGAAACCTCCACTAACTGGATTAGGCGACCCTGAGGTAACAAAACTTGCAAAGTAACGTTGCATAATGACGACCAAAGTGACGTTCACTCTGGCTCCCGGGTTGCTGGGGTCCATGAACATGTATCCCAGGTTATTGGCGTGCCATGCCGGCGGCACAGAGAATTGATAAGCGAAGCTGTCGTTAAGGGGTTCAAATACCTTTACTACGGTAAAAAATTGTTTACTGTAGAATGGTACGCTAGGGGTTTACTATATAGGTGTAAACTAACCTTGTGTATACCTATAAATAGGTTTAAAGTAGTACTTTACTTTTATAGTAGGGGTTTAAATTAAGTATAAAAAGTAGTTGTATTTCTATTATACGCTATAATACCTAACTAAGACTAAAAGGGGTAGAGAAGATTAGCTTTACGCTATACGCACAAATGACATAATAATAAGTCATAATATTTTTACTAATAGGAGGTAGTGATAATAGAGGTGGTGATAGAGGTGGTGATAGAGGTGGTGATAGAGGTGGTGATAGAGGTGGTAGTAGAGGTGGTGAAGAAGATTAAAGAAAGGAGGGGTAAAATACTTAAATAGTTAGTAGGAAACTAGTTATTACTAATACTAGTAGATTAATAGAAGTAGAAATAAAAGTAGTTTACTTTTGTGGAATACATAGTATAATAAACCCTATTTAGGTTTACTTCTTCTACCTAAACTACTTCTTAGTCTACTTTAGATAAATATGGCTACTATAAACCGGTTTTGTACTGTAGTGCCTGTGTCGTTACATAGGCGTGATTACAGGGCAATTGTTATTTAACCTAGCTACGATATGCTAAATAGCCTAGTTACAAGCCCTACTAACCTAAGTGGGCGCTTAGCGTATGCTTGGCATATATTAATTGTAAGGACAAAGCATTTTTAAATAAATTTACAAAACTTAAGACCCCAACCCTAACCCTAACTACCCCTAGCCCTACCTACTAGTACACCCTTACCTTAACTAAGTCTAACCCTAGTACAATGAATTACACCAAGCTAACGCCAAGTGCCTACCTAGGTTAGTAGGGCTTGTGACTAGGTTGTTTACCATATTTTAACCAGGTTGAATAACATTCGCCGTGATTACAGTTTGTAAGCACGGGGATCCCGTGCGGGAACATTATAATCTAAAAGACGCCTCTTGACGGAGTCAACAAGCAGGGCGACTAATCTCGCACGGGAGGTTCCTTCGGATCGTAAGCGGTAGGTATTATTTCTTGTGATAACAGTTATCATGTGTAGCTCGACACCTTTATTTATATTTGCTTTTTTCGTGCTTTAGAGGTCGTTAGGTCGACGGGGTCGACGGGCCGTGCCGCACGGCGGCACGGTCGGCAACGATGTAACGTCGTGTCATATTACCTAGACCAGCCCCAAACACAGAGCCCCTACATTATTAATGGGAAGTGCTAATTGTCCTTGCCACAATAGACTAATCGTCCTCGCCCTTCCTAATAGGGAAGCGCCAAGGGGTAATCGCCTAAGTACTCTGTCTTGGCGTTGTATGTAATTTTCTATAATACAAGGAGATACAATACCTACCTAATTCGCTTTGCGGCTATTGCTAGTAGTAAAGTCGCGGCTTTTGCTAGTAAACCTAGGGTAGGAGTAAAAGATATACTACGTGATTATATTAACTATATAGCTATATTTTAGCCCTTATACTTAAAAGTTTATAACACGTAATATAACGCCTAGGTTAGCTGCAAGCTACTATAGTACTCTAGCTCTAGTAGAGTACTAGTAATAGTATAGGGATTTAGCGTATAAGCTAGTTACTATAAAGTAAGTAGTTAAGCTAGTAATAGGTGCTTAATATATTAGGATACTAGCAACTATAGGTAGGCCTATTACCTACCTACCTACCTACCTATTAGATTACTAAATTGCCTACCTAGAAGCTAATTTTAGTAGTTATAACTAGTAGGTAGGTTAATATATTAACCTAACTACTAATATTAAGGCTAGTAATAGTACTACTATATAGCTAACTGCGGCAAGGGCTGTAGTTAAGCTATTAGAGCCTAGTAAGGATAAGGAGCTAGGTAAATTGCCTGCTATAGGTAGGGTAGCTATAGTAGGTGGGGTAAAAGTTATAGTATAGGTAGAGGTTAGGGCTATAATTAGGGTAGGCAAGGGACAATATATACGTGCTTAGTAGGCTACTATTACCTTATATAAGCTAGTATTATAGTAGGTAGTAAGGCTAGGTAGTTATTATTAATCTACTTAGCTAAAGTAGGGTCACGCTAGTTGCTAGACTAGCCCGCGCCCTTATAGTAAGATTTTTTAGCGCGTAGTTTAGTAATAATTATCTATAGCTTGCAAGGAGTAGTAGTAACTTTAAGGTAAGGAGCCTAGCTACAATTAACCTACTAATATAGGTAGTAATTTACCGCCTATAGTACCTTTAAATAAAGCTCTAGATCTACTAGAAAATACTAATATAGTATACTAAGTATCCTACTATATTAGTTAGTACACTACAAGAACTTATAGGCACTATTAAGCTACTGCTTGCGTAGCTTAGTGCGCGCGTAAGCTAGGTTATTTACTATTATTATAAGCGTATACTAGGTTATACGCCTAAATACTACTAAAAATATTAGGTTGCAATAGTTAAATTAAAGCTAGAAGTTTTTAATACTATTTATTAACCTTACGTGCTTTACGTGCTCCTTATAGAATAGGTAGAGCCTTTAAAATAGCGTAAGGAGGTTAGCTTAACTACCTTGTAGCTACTCCTTAATAACGTAGTACGCTCCCTTAACTTTACTTATTATAGTAAGCTAGAAATAAGGGTGCTTATTAATATAATAACTTATAATCTTAGTAGAGTAGTTATTAAGCTAATACTACTAGAGGTAGGTAGTTGCAGCGGCAGATCTTTGCTTGTATAATAGTAGATTAGCTAAATAGTTAGCTTTAGTAGGTAAGGTAATAAGGTTATAGTATAGCTGCAAATATTTAGTAGTGCTATTGTTATTAACCTAGGTGCGACCCTTGCAACGCTACCTAAACTCTACTAAAACTTTTAACTATAGATATAATAGAATATCCTTATTTATATACTAGTAGTAGATAATAACTCTAGGCGTATTAAATACCTAATCTAATATATTTAGAAATGCTAGATTATAATTAATAGCCTAAAATTATACTATAATACTATAGGAGTTAAGGAGCTTGTAGAGGTTTTAGAGCACCTATAAGAATATAGCCTTATCTTAGTTATAGATTATCGCTACCCTAAGCTAGATTGTCTTGTTATTACTACCTAAGCTAACAAAATTAACAAGAGGAAAGTGGTATTTGTTTGTCTTAAAGGTGTAGTTAACAAGGAGGATATTAGGCAACTCCTAGAATAGCTAAATAGAGTTAGGATAGAAAAATATAATAGAGGTTATAAGGTTCTAGTTATAGGTAATAGTATTTGCTTTACACTAGATAGAATAGTGTAGAGATGGCTATTAGTATAGTATTAACACAAGAATAATACTTGTCTTACCTAAGCCCTGTGTAAAGCGCAGGTTTTACGCAGCTTAGGCGCTAAGACACTAAACCTAATTAACTAGAACACTACAAGGTGTCTTTATAATAGGGTTATTATAGAATCTCCCCCTCTAGCTATAGTCCCTAGCAGCAACCTATAGCCTTAATAAAAACCTTACCCTATAGGGAAGGAAAAGAGTATCTATAGTTTAACCTATAGATACGCTATATAAGCATTCCTTCTACGTGTTATATATATTATAGGTATATAGTGCGCGCGTATTATTATACTATAGTATAGAAAGTTAACTATTTACTTATTACTTAGCCTAAGGCCTAAGCTCTATATATTATAAATAACTAAATACTTTACTACTACGTGCCTTAATCTTTAAGCACCTATAACACACCTTAACTATATATCCTACGCCTATTAATATAGTTTACTATCTAAACCCTAAATATATTAAGAAGTTGCACCTTTATAGTACCTAGCCCTACGTGTTTAACGCGCTAGCTAAGCGCGTAGATTAGGTAGCCCTAGCTATAACCTACCTATACTGCGCTTAAAATATTGCTAAGTAAAAAAAGGATTATAATATACCTAAGTATTATTACTATAAGCACTATACTACTAGTAACTATAGTAGGTATACTAAGGTTAGTACTAAGAGTTTACTTTAGGTATGCTATAGCTAATTTCTATAGGTGCCCTAGGTAATAAATAGTTAATTAAATTATTTATACGCCCTTTACGCTAACTATAATACTATAGTTATAAATACTACTTGTTGCAGGAGGGATATCAACTGGATCACGGAGCATCTTGATCCCGATCAATCCCGATCAATCCTGGTCAATACCCCTGTATGACCCACTATCTAATCGACTGCCAGCTTACTGCCAAGTGCCTAATAAAAAGCAGGAGCTCTAGTAAGGAAGGTTTACTAATTATTTACCTTCTAGTAAGGGTAGCTAAAGCTCTATATATATAAGTCTAATCGTAGTAGATACAATCTAATAATCTATCTCCTAAATTATTCCTAACCTTAGTGATCTAAATTTCTATAGTTATAAGCCTAGTTCGCGCTTTACCTTATTAAAGATCGTCCTATCTATTTAAGCGTATTATTTAACTTAGACACTAAGCTAGCAAAGCTTTACTCTTTCTTTATACTATTTCTTAAGCAAAAAGCTTACTTATTACTCTTCTACTATAAGCGACTAAATCCTAAAGGGGGATATCCTACTTACTAGATTAACTAACTAGCCTACCTAGTATATTTAATTTAGATACCATACCCTAACTAAAGGGATCTAGGTAGAGGTAGACCCTAAGGCTCTAGATGCTAAAAACCACTTTAAGAATAAACCTATTAAGCCTAACATGCCAACAGATATTACGCTATCTAATATAACGAGTAAGCAGTACAAACTTAAAATAGCTTAGTACTAAGCCTGCTTATTAGATTAGGTATTAAAGTTATTAGCAATCTAGAACCTCTTTATATAGGTTAATAATATAGTAGATTAAGGGATCCTTACCCTAGCCTATATAGAGCTTGTTAATTAAGGAAGAGTAACCCTCTAAGCACTAATCTAAGTACTCTACAATAACCTAGCGCTAACTAACTTAAGCGCTGTAATACTAGCAAGATTGTAGTACAAAGCTTATCTTACTAAGGTAAAGATAAGTAGCTAAGACGCTAATTACTAGTAGAAGGAGTAGATAATCCTATATACGCAAGCTAAGGTATATAACATTCCTAATATTAAAGGATAGCTTGTAGTACAGGATTATCTTAAAGCTCTATCTGCTAGGATCTTACTAGATTAGGGTTAAACTATATTTTAAAGGATTATTAAAAAGTTAGTAATAGGAGAGCTAACTTATAACCTCCCACAGG